GCTGCAGTGTCTTGCATAGTTCTTATTCTTAATAATTATCCTTTGTGTCTTCTATTAATACACTAAGAAGCATTAAGTGCGGGCAGCAGCAGCAGCAGCAACAGCAGCAGCGGCAACAGCGGCAGCAGCAGCAGCAGCAGCAATAGAACCAACAACAGTGTCACCATCAACAGCAACAAAAGCAGCAGCAGCAGCTGCTGCTGCTGCTGCTGCAAGGGATTGTGACACCCAGGGCCTTGTCTCCCTTGTGGGGTGTATATGCAGCAGATGAGTCTGCTGCTGCTCACGCAGCGGGGGCCCCGCTCTCTTGCTGCACTAGGGCCCTGGACCCCTTTTAGGGGCCCCTTGGGGGCCCCCATAGGTTATACCCTTGGTCCCTTACCCCTGGGGGCCCCTCTGGGCCCCCTTCCCTTGGGGGCCCCGTTGGGCACCCCTCTGGGGCCTTATAGAAGGGGTATGGGGGCCCCCACCACGGGGCCCCCCAAAGGAGGAGACATTTTGCGCGATTTGCTGCTGCCTGCAGCAGATGCTTCCTTGCTGCACTGCAGCAGTAGTAGTAATAGTAGTAGTAGTGTTGGCAACAGCAGCAGCAACAGCAGCAGCAGCAGCAGCGACAGCTGCTGCTGGGGAGGCATCAATTGGGGTGTCCCTGGTGTAGGTATTGCTGCTGCTGCCTCGCTGCAGCAGCTGACAGCAGCAGCAGCAGCAACAGCAGCAGCAGCAACAGCAGCAGCAGGAACGCGCACTCCTTGTCGTCTTTTTGCTGCCTCTGCTGCTAGAAATTCTCTTACAACTGCAGACCCCGCAGCAGCAGCAGCAGCAACAGCAGCAGCAGCAACAGCAGCAGCAGATGCAGCTGCTGCACCTGCTGCTGCTGCTGCAGGGCCCTCATTTGCTGTTGCTAGACAGAAGCTGCAGCAGCAGCTGCTGCAGCATGCAGGAGACTATTGGGTAATTATATTTATATAAATAATAAATAATAAATAATAAATAATAAATAATAAATAATAAATAATAAATAATAAATAATATTTATATTAATATTATATTCTTTGTGTGTGTCTTGCTGTTGCTGTTGCTGCTATTTCTGGTGTTGCTGCTATTTCTGCTGTTGCTGCTGTTGCTGCTGTTGCTGCTGTTGCTGCTGCTGCTGCTGCTGCTGCTGCTGCTGCTGCAGATGCTGAGCAAAGGGAGACTAAGTCTTCTTGTGTCTCTTTCTTCTATATGGGGATATTTAGCAGCAAATCAGGCAGGTGTATCGATAGCAGCAGCAGGAGCAGCAGCAGGAGGTATTGTTGCTGCTGGACTACAACAACCACTAACAGCAGCAGCAACAACAACAACAACAGCAGCAGCAGCAGCAGCAGCAGCGCCTCTTGCTGCTCTATTTGTTGGTGTCTTGTTAACTTCTGCTGCAGCAAATTCTTTGAATCAAATCATCGAGAGACACCTCGATGCTAATATGGATAGAACTAAGATCAGGTACCCAGCAGCAGCAGCAGCAGCAGCAGCAGCAGCAGTAGCAGTAGCAGTAGTGTGTGTATTTGTGGTGTCTCCTTCAGGCCTCTTCCTAGTGGCCGTTTAGGTGTCTCCTCTGCTGTCTCCTTTGCTGCTGCCTCTGGGGTGTCTGGTCTGCTGCTGCTGCAGTCTTGCTTCCCTCAATCTGCTGCTGCTGCTGTTGCTGCTGCTGCTATTACCTTATATGCTGGGGTGTATACGCCGCTCAAGACACGCACACCCTACTGTACCCATGTGGGGGCCCTCGTGGGGGCCCTCCCTCTTATTATAGGATGGACTGCAGCAGGGGTCTGTCTCCTTTTATTGTCTCCTTTTTTGTCTCCTTTTTTGTCTCCTTTTTTGTCTCCTTATTATAATTAATTATAATTAATTAATTATAAATAATTAATTATTATTATTTATAATTAATAAATTAATTAATTAATTAATTAATTATGCTATAAATATAAATAAATATAAATAAATAAATATAAATAAATAAATATAAATAAATAAATATAAATAGAGTAAATAAATAAATAAATAAATAAAATAAATAAATAAATAAATAAAATAAATATGTGTGTGTGTGTGTATGCATGCATGCATGCATGCAGGGTAGTATAGATTCATGGGGCTGTATATTATTATTTTTTCTTCAATATTGTTGGCAATTTCCTCATTTTTTTTCTTTTTTTTTTTTATATAAAAAAGAATATAAATATAATTCTTTTCTTTTCTTTGGTTCTCCTTCTTATGGAGGAATTAATCAATTAATTCTTCTTTCTTGTAGATATACAGCTATTCTTTTCTTATTACCTATAGTAAGTATTATATATAATTTATTTAATTAATTAATTAATTAATTAATTAATTAATTATTTATTTATTTATTTAATTAATTCTTCTTTCTTGTAGATATACAGCTCTTCTTTTCTTATTGCCTATAGTAAGTATTATATATAATTTATTTAATTAATTAATTAATTAATTAATTAATTAA